CTGACTCTATATGTATCTATAGCTATAACTCTAGATCTATAACTCTACATCGCTCCTCTTTAGGTCCAAAGATTAAAACTTCAGTTTCTGTTCAGCTGGAGAAAGTTTTGGCACATTGACACGTTTATCTGTTCTTAGCATCTGTTCAGTGGTTGGCTGGGTTCAAAGGTCACCTGGTGACATCATAATGTAGAGCTGAGTAACACCTGTGTAACGATGGTAGTTCATCTTATTTGCTGTTATAAGCAGGCAGGCACAGGTGGTACAAATAAGGCTCAAGCATCGTTCATGAATTTATTTATAATTTCTGCGAAGAAAGTTTCCCTTTCATGTTTTACTGTGGAGTGACAGCTATCTCAGTTCCAAAACATCCAAGAGTCTAAAAAGACTTTCTATCAGTTTAATAAATCCAGACATATTGTAGTAACCACTTCTAATCTTATGTTTTCTATTCCCACTTGGAAATGCATTAGGAGGCACTGATTTAATTAGTACAGCTGATTCATTCATTACTGTCATCCAACCATGTCAGGAACATAACATCAATATTCTGCTCACAGACGAAGTCATAAATAAAATCCGTTTTGCTGATGGCGATCTTAGGTTTAGCAGAGCCAGTTTAAGTGACTTAGTCTCAGATAGTTCTTGAATTTGAGGTTTGATTTTAGACTGCATTTCTGTTTTTTGTAAATATTCTTTGGGTGATCTGGACAGGTCCTGTCCTGCTTCGTACTGCCGGGGGTCAGACTCATTCTGGAGTAAGTCGGGTGTAGAGCTAATGTCTGGACGCCGACCTCAGACCGCTGATGCACATGATGATGATTCCTCTGGGGAAGCAGAACCAGGTGGTTCTGCTTTTAGAGCATCAAGAAGAGAAGCCATGTATCCATGGAGCAACAAGCTTTAGGAGCTCAGGAAAGAAGTGAAAAGTGACGATCCAATTCTTATTCTTAGTTATTTTAGTTTATGCTTCTGCGGTCATTTTAGATCAGTCTGTTCAGCGACTGGATGGGTCACTGACTCAGTTTGTGAGGTCACTGTCTTCATGGGGTCAGGGTGAAAGATGCTTTAAACCAGAACTCTGCTTCCTGCTGCGGGTTTTCCAAACCATCTATTTAGAGATAATTAAAATATTTCAACCACATGAATAAACAAATAAGTTACAGACAGATATTGTGCTGTCAAATATGTAAAACGTTTCAGTAAATTGTCATTAAAAACATTAGATATGCACAACCATCATATCACCTCCTTTTAATAGAAAAGAGACTTTTCTGCACGTTGCGTACTTTGGACAGGTTCAGTCCGTACATCACAGGGTTAAGCAGCGGCTGACATGTCAGGAAGTACAGGGATAAAAATATTCTTACATAATTTGGAACACGGTCCATGTTAAACCTGCTCTGCAGCAGCTCAAAGCAAACCCCCAGAGAGTAGTTTAACAGGGAGGCCAGGTGGGGCGTGCAGGTGCTGACGGCTTTCTGCCGGGTCTGTTTGGACCCAGAAAAACAAACCTGCAGGATCCTCAGGTAGGTGTAGAGGATCAAAACAAGAGGAACAAAGATGATGAGAGCAGCGGCAGCAAGTCCATAGATATTATTGACTGCAGTATTTGAACAGGCCAGTTTAACTAAAGAATAGTTGTCACAGTAAACTTTGTTAATAAAGTTTCCACAGAGCTGAAGAGGAAAACTCAAAGATGTTATAGAAACCATAAAAATAAAAGCAGTGAACCATGCAGCTGCAGTCAGAACAGAAACCTTCCTTACTGTCATCAGGGAGTGATACTGCAGAGGATGACAGATGGCCAGGTATCGGTCGTAAGACATGACTGCTAGGTTAAAAAACTCAACAGCTACATAAGAGGAAACACAGAAGATCTGCAGGAAGCAGAGCGGAGCAGAAACGGAGTGAACGTCAGAGAGGATCTGGACCAGCAGGAAGGGGAACAAACCCAAACTACCGTACAGTTCGTTCACAAACAGGCTGCAGAGGAACAGGAACATGGGTTCATGTAAGCTCCGGTTCACACAGATCAACACGATCAGCAGGACGTTGGAGCCGATAATCAGGACATACAGGACCAGGAGGATGGTGAAAAACAGGTATCTGAAGAGCTTTTCATCAATGTAAGCTCCCAGAGTGAAATATGAAACCTGAGTTGAGTTCATCTTGAAATAAAAAACTCCCCGAAAGTTCATGACCAATAAAAGGTTTTACTCCTAAGATGTTGATAATAATTCAGCTGAAGAAGAATCAATTTACACATTTCTTATGAGAAACACCTGCAACTGACTGGCTTAGATTATAGTGAAATTTAAACAAGTAAAAAAAAAAATCTGATTTCTGTTTGGCTTAAACAAAACAAAAGAAACATTTCAGGAGGTCACACAAACACCTCAGTGAGTTCTGACGAACTGAACCTTACATTGGTCTCCCTGCTGCTTTTAATGTTTGGAAACGTCATCCCGCTGATGTCATTGTCAAAGGACAGATTCTGCCTCTAATTGCCCCGGTGGGCCAGATTCAAATGGACTCTGTTAGCAAAGAACGGGTCAGTTCTGTTCATCGCACAAGGTCCGATCACAGGATGGCAACCCATTCATCCTGGGTGCTAACGGTTCATTCTAAAGCAGGCACTCTGTATTTTTGCAAACATTAGCAAAGAGATGCTAAGTGGTAGCATCTCTTCAAAATGACCAATGACTAAAATCAGCAAAGGTCTTGAAGAAATGTTTCCATTTATTTACAATTTCTTGCTAAGCTATGATATTTTTTATGTTAGAATATCTCAAAAACGTATCCAGGAGTTTTTAAATACTACAATAAGAAGTGTGATCTGCAGTACATAAAAAGATCCCATTTATCTGTTAATAAATATCAGTTATTGAAACGCTGGTCAGGTTGTGCAGGTGTTTGAGCTTCAGATTTAATTTACCCCGAGATCAAACCCAGCACTGACGGTCAGTTAAATGGTTTTCCTCAGTAATAGATCCCATAAGCTAAGCTAATATCTATGCTAACAACAACAAATGAATAAAAAAACAATCCTTGTAATGGCTCATTGGGTTTGGTTGAATGTAAAAGTTACATGATCCGGGCTTTGGGCCCCATAAGGGGCAGTCGGTCCCAATAATGTCGTATTTGTTAGGGNTTCTACTGGAACCAGAACTCCACCACCTGCTCCTCCTCCAGCTGCTGTGGTTCTGAGTCAAACCAACCTGTTCCCCTCCTGGCCTGTGGGGGCGCTGCACCAAGAACCACTGAAGACACTGAGAGCAACTTCCTTCTTCACCAGATGGAAACAAGATGGAGGCGACAGATTTTAGCGGTTGGAGGATTTCTCTTTAGGCTAAAGACCAGGAGCCATTTCTGCTGCTAGCGCTAGGCTAGCATGTTAGCTTTGGTTGTATTTATCCAGAATGCCTTCTGCTGTAGTCCAGTTCTTGCTTTTGGAGCGGTCTCCGGTCCCCTTGGCGTTCACATATGCGTTCAAACCGAACCAGAGTTCACTTCAACCGAACCCAGATGAGGTTTGGAGGACCAGAGTTTGATTTTTGGTTTGATTACGCATGCACACCTGCCCAAACCAACAGGACGATCTAGGAAAACGGACTGAACTGGACGAACCCTGAGAGCCTCCCATTCTCACCCATCATCAAGGACGAAGATGGAGGAAACAATGACACAGCTCCCCCTCCCCAACATCTAGTGTAAACCTTTAGAGCAGGGGTGTCCAAAGTGGGTCCTGGAGGCCCGGCATCCTACACGTTTCAGTTCTGTCCCTAGTGGTAGTAACAACCTCCTCAGCTAGTCAGTGATCTGCTTGGGCCATCTAACGAGCCATCAGTTGATGCAGGTGTGTAAAACCAGGGAGAAAACTAAAACATGCAGGATGCCGGGCCTCCAGGACCCACTTCGGACACCCCTGCTTTAGAGCAATCTCTCTCTCGCCTGTGGTTGCCCCCCAGTGGTCTGTGAGGTACTGCATGTAAACGACCATTTATTTGACGTGATGTGAGCTCAAAATGCGACACATAGTTAAAATACCGAAGGACTATGTTCAAAAATGATGGTGAATAAATGTTTTAAGACTGGGTCCCTCAAAGAAAAGCTAAAGGTAACAGTGGAAAGAAAATGGCAGGACGAGTTATATGATCAGAGGAATCCATGTCTGCAGGAATATTTTTCAGTTTCTCAGGGTGAGTTGCAGAACTTTTGCTTTTTTTAAACAGTGTTATGATGCGTAGCATTTAGTCCGACATGCGGCTGCGATGAATGCAACAGGACTGTGACGAGGCGGTGAACAGCGCTGCGCCCCGCGCTGACTAACTGCACCTTAACACCTAAAATAAAATACTTATCAGGCTTAGAATTCACTTTGAGTCGACTTGTTGGTGGTTTTTCCACATCCACTCACATTTACCAAACAGCAGCACTCTTTTCATTAGGAAGAACAAAGACGACAACAATAAGTGAGTTAAAAGACTAAAATTTTCATTTCAGGTTCTATTAAATCAAGACATTGTATTATTTGGATCCATGAGTGTTTGCTAAATGTTTAAGAGGAAAAACTGCATCAGGTTATTAGAATCAGCACCAAGCTAAAGTAAAATTATATTAAAGGTTGTTGGTTGAAGTGGTTGTTGAGGTGAACCAGCAGCAGCTGCACCGTCAGAACAGGCTGTCCAGGTGCAGCAGGTGAGCAGGCGGGCTCAGGTGTGTGTGTGTATTTGATGCATTGTGGAGGCCATTTTCCTGACACACATTACGTTGTGAGGACCAAAGCCTGGTCCAAACAAGAGGAAATGCTGTGTTTGGGTCAGGGGTCAAGTTTAGGATTCAGGTATAAATTGAGTTTTGGTTAGGGTTAGAAATGAATGGAAGTCAACGGAAAGTCCCTGAAAGACAGTGCATGTGTGTGTGTGTGAGAGAGACTCACCTGGTTTGTAGTTCCTGCAGGACACGCTCTTTGATTTTAATCTGCTGCTGCAGCTCCACCACCTTGTAGGCCAGCTGCAACGACACCAACGGTCTGAATTCAGCTCCCATCAGTCGCCTCCAAACTGCAGCCTAAATAAATCTCTCATTTCCTCCTGCAGGTTGTTCTGCTGCAGCAGATGAACTAAAACATGGAGTTAAATTCAGGAAATGATCCATTCAGGTGTTCCTGCATGTAGTCCAGAGAGGAAACCTCAAACTGAACAGAAAGGTTTCATCTTGCTGTATGACTTGGAGCTGATCCACAGTTTAAATTATAACAGTTCACCGGTTCTGGTCTGAACTCAAACGTTCATCCTTGGTCCACATGGACCTGAATTGTTCTCCTGTTTGTGTTTAAGCAACAGTCTCTGGACTCTGCTGCCACAATGGAAACTGGAATTACAAACGAAACTTAAGCCAAAGTTTGGAAATCAGGGAACATTTTCCTGATCAGAAGTTGGGAAGACTCTCTGGAGGCCAGGCTTCCTGATCCACCAAACCCAGAGCTTCAGTCTGCTCTGTATTCTCACCATAAAATTTTAAATGTCTGCACCACCTGGTCCGGTCTGGGAATTTGAATCCGTCAGAATGATGGACAGCCTTCAGATTCACAGGTTTCCTCTGATCCCAGTTTGAGCCGAACTTCAGTTGTCAAACTCGACAGGATCTATATTTTGTTTATCTTAGATAAATAATGATGCGTTTCCTTTAATTTGCAGGTGAGCTGAGGAGCATTTCTCACCTCGCCTGTCGTCTTCTTCAGCTGCTGCAGAGAGGAACGGGCGCAGCCCTCAGCGGGAGGTCTGGATGCAGAAACCAAACACACCGTCAGGCACTGAAACACCTGCACACTGAGTAACAGTAGGAGCTCAGGTGAGTTACCTGCCGGAGCTGCTGAGGAGCCCTTTGGTCAAACTGGTTTTCTCCAGCAGCCCAGTGTCTGAAAAGATACCAGACTTGGGTCAGAACTTGACCAGTTTTAGCTCAAAGTAGCTTAACCGATAGAAAACTGCAGGAACACCTGTCACCGCCTGCACCGAACCTCATTCAGAATCCGGCCCGTTTTAGACCCATTTCCGCCAGGTAAACCTCTGTGTGACCAGCTGCTCAGGCCAGATGATGAACCAGCTGCAGATTATCTGTCACGCATGAGTCACTTCCTAGTTAGAGGAAGTGAACCAGCCTGTGGATTGGGTTTTAAACCACTTCCTGTACCAAATGTCGGCAAAATAGTGGAACTTTCTGTTTGAGATTCGGTTCGGTTCTCAATTCTTTCGACTGCTGCAGGTCATGTTCTGCAACGGAACCAGACTCTGTAGAGATAAAGTCAGATTTAAGGTCAAAAACGAGTCGTTTGAGTGCGCCGTTAAATCGGCCTTTTTTTGAATGGAGTTCGGCGCCGACTGGAGCCAGCTGTTCTCCGAGGTTCTTACAGAACCGGATCAGGTCCTGGAACATGGCGCTCTGGATCCGGTCCCGGTGCTTCAGCTGCTGGATGATGTGCCCCCTCCAGGTCTCTGCGGACCGACTGCTTCGCCGTGACGCCCCGCCAGGATCCATCCCGTATCACTGCCGCCATGATCCGCGCTGACCGAGCCGCCTCATGCCGCTCCCCGCTGAGGGACGCTCTCACACCGGCCTGGTCCTCAGGGACTCCCCGCTCCTCCGGTCCCCTCCATGGTCCTCTCTCCTGTTTGTTGCCTTCAACTTTATTTTTGTTTTTCAACTTTTTGTTGTTATTTTCACATTCGTCACTTGAATGGGGCGGGGCGATAGTTCATTCCAGCCAATCAGAGCCCTCTTCCTGATTTGCCCCAAAAGGCCACGCCCCCAAAACTTCATCGTCAAATTCTTTTTTTCTGAATACAGGGACAAGATATATTGTCACTTTCCTAAAATAATGTTAATTACGACAAAAGAAAAGCCTTTTGGCAAAACAAACAAAAGAAACCTTTGGCTATTATTTTAGAAAGGTAACGATGTGAAAAAAATAAATCCAAAAGGGGAAATAATTAATGAAAAAAACGAACAAAAAAAGGGGGATAAAAGCGAAAAAGCATGAATTAGGACAGATTTAGGTTTGGACCGCCTGCAGTTCGTCTGAAATCTGCTCTTTTCTCGGTGCTTCATCGTCATCATCCTCCTGCTTTGGGTTGACAGAACGATAAAGTCAGTCTCTGCCTGATGTTTTGTTTTCTACCTGAGCTGCAGCAAAATACAGTTTACAGTTTTCTGAGTAAAATCTGAATTTTTAATCCTCTAACACAGGGGTGTCAAACTCAGTTTCACCGAGGGCCACTTCAGCATATTGGCCCCCCTCAACGGGCCACATTGACGGAACCAATCAGGAACCACCAGGTCCAGTCCTCCAGACTGCAACTTTTAGATACATCCCTGCTAAAACACCCAGACAAAAGGCTGACTTCCCTCATTCAGAGGCTTATAATGAGTCAATGGTCCAGGTGTGTTAGAGAATGAATGCATCTAAAGTTGCAGATGGTAGCTCTGGAAAACTAGACTTGGGCACCCCTAGCATAAAATGTATGAAAATACAATGTTAAAAATAAATTAAACACCTCATATTGTTAAATAACTGATTTTATGTATTGAAGTTTTAAATATTACATTTGAGTTTCCATGGATGTAAAATTACTGCTCAGTTTAAAAATTACAATATTTAAATCAGTGTTTAAAGGTAAGCAAACAAATAATAAAAACAAGTCACAGATTTAGTCTCAGAGGCAACTGAAATCAATTAATTAAAAAATCCTTTCTGAATATCATCTCATGGTCTCTGAACTAAATGCGTCTTTCTGACCAGGAGCTGACAGCGTGTTGAAGAGTTATGGACCGGACGCTTTGGAGCGACTGGTTAGGAAGCGGATCAAACCTTTGGTTGAAATGGCGCGTTAAATTCAAGTCTCCATTACAGACCAGAGAAAACTAAAGAGAATGCAACTTTGTGTTAATCCATCTGAGGAGCCGGTAGTTTATCTTGAGGAAATAAATGACGATGCAAAAGTTAATTAGACTGTAACATGCGCAGTCCGCTGCTCAACCACTGCGGAAGCGGCTATGCCGTTGCGAAGAATTAAAAACCGCTGGAAGTAACTCATCCAGAAGATTTAACAAATGGAGCCTTGTTGCACGTTACCCAGGAGAGCGGCGTTCTGGAGGAGCTGCAGACGAAACATCTGTCCGTTTCGGAGAAGCGAAACCACGCAAAAAATAAATAAATAAATAAAAAATCCTGGTAAAAGCGCACACTGGACCGCGCAGGGTAAAATACTCAAACAGTTCAAATGAATTTTTTTGTTTAAAAAAAAACAAACCAAACAATAAATAAAATAAAA